GAATATGTTTAGGAATCAGCGACAGCTATTTAATGACATTTGAGTTAACCTTTACACATATAAAAGATTACATTACTTAATTTGATAAATACAATTTTCACCCTATTTCGTTTAAGGTGTTAAATGACTTTTAGCTGAATTTTTCCACAACTATTTGAATAAGCCTCACGTTTCCTTCGAACATGACAGTTCTTAGTCAAGATTTGCTGGTAGTCTGCAAAACCTACTTTTTAAAAATTACTTATTTTATTTGCCAGCAAATCCAATTACTATAGCTATCTATGTTCTTTGAAAGTATGTCTTATTATTATCTGAGCAACTTTGACAAGGAATTTTAGTCATCCATATCTATTAAAATCTGATTGGTTATATTTTTTCCTTGTGTCCCTACTTTGAAATAATAAAAACTTCGTAAATACGAACCCCACACCACTTTGTGTAATTTAGCTTTTGGCCCGGCTTAGTCACAAATAATTTTTCCTATCTTAAGCAGACTAGTCAGTGCTCTTGTCTGGAATGTATTTTGTCAGTTTCGAGACCGTTTCGACTAACTAAAAATGTATTTATGCTGGTATCAATGCCACGCAGGAAACCTGCTCCTCTTGTGACTTGCGTCAAGTCTATTGGCCTGGAGAGAAATGAGTGCTCGCTTAAATGCAGGCTGTAAAACAGTTTGACCAGACCAGTCTTAGTCAATTTCGCCTCACTGTCCTGTCGAGATCATCGCTGGCCCAGCCAAGCGTCTTTGTGGAAATCCGAAAGGTCCGATTGACCGGCATAACCGGTAGTCAGCGTTAGGCTGGGCGCCATTAGACCTGACTTGTCCCCCACTTGGCCTGGCAACGGGCGACTCGTTAGTCCAGATCCGGTGGATGTGGCCGGCTTACACTTCGTCTGGCGTCCGAGGGACATTTGACTGCCTCCAGACGCTGCCGATTCTTGCATACAGCCGGTTACCTCTCGTGCCATCTCCGTCGTCTTTGGGCCGACATAAATGTCGGTCCGGTAGGGCTCAGCCGATGCCCGGGAAGGGTACCCGGGATAGGCGAAGCTCGACAAGACTTGTTGCTGCTGTTGTTGTTGTTGTTGTTGTTGTTGGGTTATCTGATAAGGATATTGCCCGCTTGGGCTTTGCGGCGTGTGGTGGAGCCCCTGTTGCTGTGGCTGTTGTTGATGATAAATTGGATTGTGTTGTTGATGTTGATGTTGCTGTTGCTGTTGATGTTGATGTTGGAATTGATGTTGTTGTTGAGGTTGTGTCGGGTAGCAGAGAGTGGAGGGTATCTGCTGGTATCCGGCCAGAACGGGTGGCAGACTGGCCACGAATTGGCCCTGAGGTCCGGTTAGGCCGAATGCTGGGCTGTTGCCACCGCCGACGGTCAACAGGGCCTGCGGCTGGCGGCCGGACATGAGGGCGTAGCTGGCGACGGCGAGGGAGGATGGTGAAGACGAGACGATGGAGGCGTTGGAGGCAGGAGAGCCGGTGGAGGGGGGGCAGGCGGAGGAAAATGCAATGGTGCCAGCTTCATTTGGTACCACGACGGCCGAACGTCCCGGATGGAGGGCCAGGCCGTGGAGACTGCTGCCATCCGGTAGGCGATTGGGCAAACCGGGGTCAGCCGAGAAGTCGGTCAGGGCGATACAAGCGTCGCGTTTGCCCAGAGTCCCCGAGCCAGCCTCGGTGCGACGAATTGCAGGGCCTATACATGCAAAGCATGCAGTAAAGAGGGGCCAGTGAATGTGGTGCGATGTATTTCCGGTGATCGCTTTGCCTTCAATAAATACACACGAAAGGAAATGTCGGTTTCAAAAGATCCCCCAGTCATTTAGCGATATCATCAACTGGTCCGGTCGACGTAAGCGTTTGTTGGAAGGAATTTGTGAATTGGTCTTGCCATAAGCCGAAATAGGATCGCTTTGGTAGCGAAGATTCTTCGTTTGGTCAAATAAGTCCCTGGCTCATCTTCACTCAAACCTGATGAGACCATATACTCTACAAAAACGGCACTATTGTACAAAACCAAAATAAGAGATGATTACGATCTTACTTGTGTCTTTAATTGTTTGGATGGCCATCTCACATGCTTGCAGATGGTTGAAGGTCATTCATGTTTATTTGCCCAAATAATCCGGCGCATGGTCTTATAATGTTTACGTATGTTTGTACATCTAGTATCGGGTTTATCGAGGTGAGCCGAAGACTAATTCACTTAAATGCAATTCACAAATTCTTTGAAATCATTTTTTGACTTGGCATCAAATTACTTGATGACAAATACAAGCTTTGCTAGATACTTTTAGTGAAATTAAAGTATAATGAGCGAGTAAAAGCCATATTTATCCTAGGTAGCATTAGATGAGGAAAGAAAGATAGTTAAATTTTCCCACAATCATTTGCATAGGCTCCATGATTCCAATGAATTTCACAAAACCTTCCCTCCCAAATGTATTGTTATCTTGAGTAGAGTTCACTTTCAACTTCGCCTGGGTCTCTTCATTACCCTTATCGTGAATAAAACCCTGAAAAATAATACCTCCTGTGAAGCAAGGCTATGTGAAATTTGATGGGAATATGAGGCAATCTCATGCGATAGTGGGGCAATTCGACTCTCAATCCTTCATCATCTTATGTGACCTAGGGTAAATACGGCACTTATTCAAGAGCTTCTGGTTGTTTCAAAACTGAGATATGAATATAAATGTTGGATTATTTTTCGCACTATTTTTTTTCGCACTGGCCCTATTTTGCTGAAGAATTTCACTCAGCTTTGCCTTTTCAAAAGTATTCGCTCCTCCAGAATAGAATACCGTTTCGACCTCGGCATCCCCAAACCTGTGGGTCATAGGGTAAAAGTTAAGATTTAAAGCGATCCTGGCATCTCGAAAATCACATTTTATAGTGGGAGTGTCAGTAAGACAATAATCTCTTTGCTTTCACAATCGTAAATGGTATTTGGTTTCGGTATGAGTATGAGATCACACATAAAATCACATGTTACATAAGAATTTCATTCGTCCTCAGGCAGCCGAATGTGATGCTAAGACTAATTATTGAATTTTTTATGATGAAATGTATCGGCTTGTTAGTTACCATGGCTTATGCCTAGCCTTACCTACCAAAATGTTTTCTTATTCAGGCCGGACTGCAACTTCGAGCTCGCCAGGCTTCCCTCACTGCCGGGATTTGAAGCCGATTTATGCACAACCCTCGGCAATATGTTGTCACTCCACCACTTAGCAACTGTCACCAGGAGTGGACAGGACAGAAGTAACGTTCGAAGCAAGCCAGATTACTTTAAAATCACACTTTATAGTATGATTGTAAATGAATTAAACTCGTAATTACCATTAGGATCGACGACGTAAAGGTAATATGCTATCATTCGATGCACACGACTAAGGCTTGAAACCCGTTGCTGGTGTTGACGAGATTCAAATGAGTCGAAAGCTACAGTCAAGCATGGATCAAAAGACTATTTAGGAGACAAAAATAGCAGTGTTAGCATCTATTTAATCTACCTAGATTAGCAAACGCTCTTATTAAAGATTTACTAATAGTGTCTGGATTGTGGGACAGTTAGATGAGCGAGAAAAAAGTCTAGAATCTGAAGCCCGTAAGAAATTACAGTTGCTGCACAATCTTATAACGGCTTTGTGCATACGTTCTTTGCTTTCTGTGAATGAAAATTAAAAATTTTCACCTCAATGCAAGCTTGAAGTCATTATTTGACTAGGGGACGTTTTCAATTTACTCAAACTATGCGGTCTCGATTAATATGTCATCCTGAACATGCTAATAAATTTATGTAACAGTATAGCAATGAGAAAAATTTGATTTCAACTCGCTTCTTAACGCAATTTCACGCGAAATGACAGTCACGTAAGTTATGCTATATCCAGAAATCTAGTGGAAACCACTTATCTACCCAAACATACAACAGCTCCCTTGCTCGAATGTGATGCTCGTCTCAGACAAAGCCTAGGTAACATCGTTTTCTAATTTTGCTAATTAATGATTATATTTGCTTCTTTCGGAAGACAAATACATAGGAGATCAACACATGTTTTATGTATGCCAGTTATCTGAAATTCACTAATGACTTATTGGCCGACATTTTGGTGACAAGACTCACCCCTTTAGCTGAATGGTACTCTTTAGCTGAGATGATTTAAAGTGAAATGCTAATTCTGTATTTAAATTTGCTCTGTCATACATCCCTTAAAACCGTACTCTTCATGGCCTGATTGCAATTCTGGCCTCCCCTCAGTCTTAACAGTAACTACAATCAGATTAAAATCGTGTGTGTTCTCATATTAGGTATGGATTTAAATAGGCCTGCTTTGTATCAAAAAGTCATACTTGTCATGGAAATCAACGGAGCTAGTGACGAATGACCTCGTGCATTGTTGGAACATTGGTGAGCGAGCTGAAATGACGACTATATCTGTTTGTATCTAAAATCCAGCCCACATGTGAACAGTCTTTATTGAGGCAGAAAGCAGAGAATCCAAATGAAATATTACTTTCTGGGATGCAATACAACAATAAGAAATAATGTAACTATAAATATTTAATACCGATAGGTCTAAGCAGCGCATGTGACTTTAATCACTGTAGAATCATTTTCATGAACAGCAAATTGGAGGTAGCTACTGCAAAAGTCACGAATATGTTTGGTAAAAAATATGAATTGAGAGAATAGTAAGAAAATTCCACACTAAAATATAAGGATAGCACATATTCGGCTTATTTTTTCGCTAAGCCACTTCAAGTAGTATGACCAATAACCATGCATGTATATTTAAATGGTTGAAGCAGGCAAACCTTTAGTTAATTTTAAAACGGCGGTAGAAGAAATCCCTAAATTGGCAACATCGGATACCGAAAAGGGAGTTTCATGTATTTGTGACTGTTGAAATGTGCGAAGAAACATTCGGCTCACCATCCCGATACATCCGAGCTGAGTTCTCATTATTCATGTGACAGACATAGTCGGAGTAAGAAATCATCACTTATGATCAACCACCAAAAAACACTAAACCAAAAAAGGTGGTCGGCTGAAATTCTACTTATTCCTTATAATTCACTTTGAGCCCTTTATGAGGCATTCCATGACATGGTCGGCCACTTTGTGCTTATCACACATGCATGCAGACAAGTTTAGTTGATGCAGGAAAAGGGAGTTAATGTGGTCAGAGCTTTTCTTAATGTAAATAAACTAATATATGATGATGTAACGCTGAGGCATACTTTAGGCTTCTGAATGCATGTACGTTGTGTGTATGCAACACTCATGAACCATTTGGCAATTTTGAGCTCAAACTAGACTTCAGGTTAATTAGGCTTTCTCCTTTTACTCGGTTCCTCTCCCTGTTCTCTTGTTTGCTCATTCTATCCAGTAGCAAGAGATAATTTTTTCTTCTGATTCAGAATAATATTTATTTTGCCAATTTTTATTAACTCTCTAATCTTACGTTTGGCTGTGAAACTTCTACATCCGGAAAACCGTGGGTTAGTGAGCAGATGTTCAGCCACATCCGATTTACGAACCCACAAACATTTTCTTAAATTTGTATTCTGATGGCCTCTTCTGTATGAGTCCACGAGTCTCCTCCCAATAGTCACTATCATATGAGCACAAAACCCTATACGAACTTGATATGCAAAGGAAGTCTAAGGATTCTCTAAAATAAAGTTCTTAGCAGACTTTTCAAGCTTACAGAAAAATAGAAGGTATAAAGACCAAAATGGTGTGGCCTTTTATGTGGTAGCAGTTTCCTTTCATTGTATATAAGATGTTTGAACTTGTTTTCGCAACTTGGTCACATTGTTAGGAAAACCTAGAGGAACGCACCTGGTCCGGAATCCATTGTATGCATGATCATTTCTAGAGTCGGACAGTGGATGTGGTACATTCTCAGACGTTTTGCCGGCATCGTCAGTGAGTCTTGCCATTCTTAGCACCCTACAACAACTCGTCAAAGAGAGAAGTGAAGTCGATCCTTTGACCAAATGTGTGCTAAACTGTTGTTGTATCTCTCCTTCTGTCATAGCCTATTCACCTTCCCTATATTCTTGTATCACCCCTTTAATATCACTATTTTCTCTTCGACATTTAAATGTGGTATGGTACTCTCTTTTGAGCGGATTGCATAAGAACTCTCCACACCCCACACTGTCGTTCTCACCTCCCTTCAAACTTGTGCTTGGAATGTTGATCATAGTCTGTTATATTGTTGCGCTGTCCTCATTCCACACGTCTT